ATCATTTAATTTAGACAAATGTATTACTTATAATTTCTTCTTTATTTACTTAATATTATTATTTGTTTGTATTAAATACTTATTATATTTTGTTTATTATTTGTGATTAATGACAGACACTTATTATTTTAATTACTTGACTATTTAGATAATAGTCATTTACTCTTCTAATATTTAAAAAATATTGTTAGTTTACTATCTTCTCTTCTGTGGGGTTTAAAATATTTTTGAGCTATTTCCTGTTAGGTAAAATAAGTGATAAATTTTCCAATAAAGCAATTTTTGAAGTTTGCATACAAAAACTCAAATAAAAGAAACAAATTTTATTTAGAAAATATACCAAATGGAGTACAAAAAGATCTCCATTAAGAAATGATTGTCTATTCGATGAATAGAATAATCTTTCTGAAAAAGAATTAAACAAAAATAAAGACTGAAATGAATGTTTTTATGATAAGATGTTTTTTTATTTTTCCAAAATTCAAAGATAATAAAATAGACTTTTCAATAGATTTTATTAATTAACACTAAAAAAAAAAAATTTAACCTCAAAGACAGTATAATGTTAATAATAAACTTACTTCCAGCCACCATCCCATAATTAAGAATGTAGAGAATGTCAAAGCAAAGAATTTTGTAACGGACCAGGTTGGTGTTGATCAAATTGTAAATCCTCATCAAAACTAAAGATGTTTGGAGTACATCCCTTTAATGGAGATTTTGATGGGTCAAGAGATAATGAGAAATTACAGAATGGAGAAAGATCTCCAGATGATTCTAAGTGATTGTCGTTACGTGAATAACAACAACTTTGAGATATTGGAGAAGTAGGTGATTCTCCTCTATAATGAAGAATAGAACGAAGTTTTGGAGATGATGGTGGTGGTAATAATGAGACATTAAACTTACAAGAAGTTGGTCTAACTAATTCACTTTCATCTACAGAAAAAGTAGTAGGCTCAACTGGTTTATTTGAATTATTTTGAATCTCTTTTTCTAATTCTTTTAAATATTCTTCTAAACGTTCACCTATTTCTTCAATAGCATTTAATTGATTAGCGTCATATCTGGCTGCTTGTTTACGACAAAGGGCGCATTGTTTTTGATATTTAGCACTAATTTTCATTCCATGCTTATAAATTGTTTCTAAATCACCTGAGCCAATTTCAAGTGCTCTTGTAATATTTCTTAAATTATGTTCTACATGAGGAATTAGTCTTGTTACTTCAGTTGGAAGAAATACTGTTGGTTGAGCTCTTGGATTAATAACACTTTGAGCACAATATCTTTTATAAAGTAATGCGTATTCACTTAATTCACATGGGAAATAAGTTCCCCAAACAGCAATAAGTTCTCTTACTTTATCTTCAACTGGGTTTGCTTCTTCATGTAATTTTTTCATTTTACCAATTTTTTGTAAACGATTAACAAATGATAGTTCAGCTACTTGTGTTCTAAAGCAAGGAGAATTTTGAACTACATAATTTGCTAATATTAAACAATTTAATATCTCTCCTTCAGAAATTCGTTTCTTTGAATAATCACGCATCTTATCCTCTAATTGAAGTCTTAAAGCAATATCTGCTCCATCAACTTTCTCTACAGCATTAACAATAGTTCTCATATCAGAATCAATTGGGGATGTATGAATATCAGATACAGTATTAAATACTAATTCACTTAATTTGATAGACATCACTGGAATCTAATTTCTTAGATGCCCTCTTTTATTTAAGTTCATATTATCTTAGAGAGTTTTTCTCCTTTTTACATTAATTTTGATATCTAAATCACTAAGAATTATATCCTTCTTTTTGTTAGTGGAATCAACCCAATTATAAAGTCAAATCCCTAATTTTTTCCCTTAAAATTCAATTTTCGTCTTTTTTCACTTTTTAATTTTTTTAATTTTTATTTATATTTCATCAACAAAGATTAAAAAATTTTTCCTATAAATCTGATATGATCTTTAAACTGAAGACTTTTCTTTAGATTTAAAGATCTTTTTATTGATTTTTTTATTTCGTTGACTGTTTTGTTTCTTAAAATTCATTTTTAAATTTTTGTATCCTTTTTTTTATTTAAACGTTAAAAAATACTAACGTGGAATCAAAATAGGAAAGAGTGCTGAATTAACTTTTCAGAAATAAGATTGAACGAAAAGTTCCGAAAATGAATTATCCAAGAGCAAAAGCAGAAATGAGGAACTAAATGTGACTGATACAATGAAGATGAGTTGAAAGAAACGATTTAATTATTATCATCAAAAAAATAAATTGAATTAGATAAGTAAATCAAAGACAAATATAAGAAAGAAAATATAATATAATAAAAAAAAAATAAAAGAGAATAATAAAAAATAGCAGTTACAGTAAATGAAACTAACTCATCTTATTCATAATCACATTTCTTCATCAAAAGCAAATACATCAGGAGAAGACGAATTTTCACAAGGAGACCTTTCATCTGGAGTATAAGGGAAATGACATGAACTAGTTTGAAGACCTCCTAAAGGAAGAGGACTTGGTGTCTCATGTTTTGTTTCTGGTAATACAAAACTATGAGATACAAGAGACTCTCCTCCTTTATTTTTAATTTTTAATTTATTACAACTTGGAGGTGTTGGTAATATAAATGTATTTTTATATGTAACTTTTGGTTTTATTAACGTTGTATCTTTCATTGAAAAAGCATAAGGTAAAGAATCTTTCGTTAAAGGGAGTTTTTTACTTCCTTTTTCACTAGAAAATATGAGTTAAAACAGTTTAAAATAAAATTTAAATAAAAAAAAAGAATAACAAACGATATACGTTTTTTCAAGGTTATTAGAGAATCAGTCAAACGTTTACCAATTGCTTCTGCTTCTTTTAATTTATCCATATCATATCTATTTTCATTTTCATGACATTTACTACATTCTCGATTAAATTTACTATAAAAATGAATATTAAATATTATTTTATATTTAAATAAGTAATATAGTTAAACAAACGTACTAATTTTCTCTGCATAATTGTAAATACTTTGTAAATCTCCACTATTTGTTTCAATAGCACGTGAAATATTTCTTAAATTATGTTCTACATGTGGAATTAATTTAATAATTTGACTTGGAAGGAATGTAGTTGGTTGAGAAGATGGATCAATAACACATTGAGTTGTATATTTTCGATACAATATTTTATATTCACTTAATTCACATGGGAAATAAGTTCCCCAAACAGCAATAAGTTCTCTTACTTTATCTTCAACTGGGTTTGCTTCTTCATGTAATTTTTTCATTTTACCGATTTGTTGTAATAAAGCCATAAAAGAAAATTCAGCTACTTGTGTTCTGAAATTAGGAGAATTTTGAACTACATAATTTGCTAATATTAAACAATTTAACATCTCTCCATCTGTTACAAGATGTTTTGAATAATTACGCATTTTTTGTTCTATTTGTTTCCGAAGAACAATATCTGCTCCTACTACTCTTTCAACAGCATTTGCTATTGTTTGCATTTCTACTTCACTTGGTTCTGAATGAGTATCACTTATTGTGTTATATACTAATTCACTTAGTTTAACAGACATATTTTGTTTATTTTAGTTCTTTTTTTTTTCTTATTTCCATTTTTTTTATTCAATAAATATCTTAGGTAAAATTATTGTAATCTTTCATCTTATTTACTAAAAAAATAGGGTTGGAACATAATAAGTATTGAAAAAAATTGAAAAGTAAAGACTTTTTCATTTTAAGATTTTTATGTAACTGAATAGTGTTATTTTTTTCACTTTCGAATATACATAAAACTTTCTGTTTGTTGTTGTTGAAAAGTCTTCTTTAAACTTATCTCTTTGTTTTCAGTTATGGTGATCAATTTCGGGAATGTTGAATAATCGGCATTTTTTATTTTTGTTTCTCAAACTTTGTAAATTTTATTAATTCAATATTATATTATACTATTTAATTTAATTATATTTAATATAAGTAATGTATTAGTTAATTAAATTGCTATTGAATTTTTAATGAAAGTTTAAAAAAAAGTTCATTTCTAAAATAACAAACAAAAACGAAAACTCAGAAAATTCTATAAATATTAACTTCTCAATCTTCATTCTTGAGTTTTGTAAAACACAAAAAATAAATAAAAATTTGTTTAAACTCAAGCAAGATAAATTTAAAAATCATTGTAACAAAATATAATAGAAAATAATAATTTTAAGTTTGATTTTTTGTTATAAGAATGTACCCCTTTTGAAATCAAATTAACCTTGAAGATATAAGACTTATAGAAAAAAAAATAAAGATATTTAATGGAAATATTTTTTTGATGTTAATGTATTTGTTATATACATTTTTAATTATTTTTAATTATAATTTACTATAAATGAAGAATTTAAAAGAATTTTTTCTTTAATAGAAGATATTGCATTTTTAAATATGAGATAAATACTTTTGTTTAATCAATAAAAATAAACATGTTGACTATTAAATAATTTGAATAATATGTTTAAATCATTGAATATATTATATTTTGTTTAAAAAACTATAACTTAATTTTTGTCTTTCATAAATATAACTTGAAGTAATAAAATTTCATGTAATAACAATTTATGAATAATTTACCTTTTATAAATTTAACGTTTAGAATTTATAAAGTCTATAACAATTTATAAAACATCATAATGTATTAATTTGTTTATTTGCTTGTGACATTCAAATATAAAATATATAAACTTTTTTATTACATAATCAATTAATAATAATATTATTACATATCAAATAAGAATTAAATCATAATTAATTATATAGTATTTAAATCAGTATTATACAACTATTCTTTAATAAGAATATAAAAATTCAATACAACTAATTGGAATAAAAATTTTTAAGATAATTAAAAGAAAGATATTTATAAAAGATATAATACCTCTTTAAAATAAAATAGTAATAAAAGAAAAATCATTCAAATAAGTTTAATTGGAAATAAATCACAGACATTCTTTGTTAGTAGTTATTTTTTTCCAAATTTCTTAGCATGTTTTCCACTTTTCCTTTCTCCTTTTTTATTTTTTTTTCCTACCTTTTTTTGGTCTTTTGAGTTAACTATTTTCATTCCAGCATTTCGTTTTTCTTTTTTGGCATCTTTTTCTTGAAGTTTAATACTATAAAAATTACCTTTCTTATGTTCAATATCTTCTACTTCTTTTGGTTCTTCTTGACTGTCTTCAGATGAACTGGATGAACTCTCTTCTTCATGTTCTTCTTCTTGCATAGTAACACTCATTCCAGTTTCTTCTTTCTTTTTTGATTTCTTTGTATTAACAAATTGACTAGAATATTCTAATGATGTCATTATTGGCTTCTTCTCTTCTTCCATTTTATTAATTTTTTGAATATTTTCATCACTAATACCTACTTCCATATTTACTTGACTTTGAAGTTGTAAATTTCCATTAAACGAATTGAATGATAAGTTATTTGTTGTTCCAAATCCAAATGGTTGTTGGTTATCAGTGAAAAATGAGCTGAAATCTTGACTGTTTATTTTTTGAGAAGACTCTTCTTTTGGTACTTCATCCATTTTTTGTTCGATAGGTTCTTCAACCATTCTTTGAGATATTGTTGAAGTAGATTGAGTTATATTAAATGAAGAATTAATAGGAGTTTCTTTTGGAATATCTGGAATAGTATTTGTAGTAATTGAATTTGTAGGATTAAGTTGAGAAGTATTAAAAATAGGGTTTATTGTTGTTTGTTGTTGTTGGGTTTGATTTTTATTAGTAGTTGGTAAAATAGCTATTTCTGTTTGATTTGGTTTAACTTCTAATGGCTTAACTTCTTGTTTTGATAAATTTTGAATAGAAGGTTGTAATATGATTGGTTGAGACTGATTACTTGGAGTGATATTAACTTCAGTAGATAAAGATGAAGTTTTTGTTTGGTCCAGTTGTTCTCCTTTATTTGTGATAGGAGGAGTGTCTTTTTCTAAATTGTTTTTGATTTCATTTGATTGGGTTTGAATTTGTTCTTTATGTTCTGTTGTATTTGAAGTAGTTACATTTACAACGTGGTCATTGTCTAAGTGCCTTGGAGGAAGTGGAGTAGAGGAAGTGGAGACAGTAGAATTTGAACGTTTTGGGCTTTCTAATGGACGCTCAAACTTTTTTCTTCTTCTTTCCTCTCGTTCTTCTTGTGTTTCAACACGTTTTGGTTGCTTTTTTTGTGGAACAGGAATATTAACAGTGTCAGGGTTTCGTTTAATTGGGCGTATCCTTTCAAGAAAATCAGAAACATCTTTACTAATATTTTGTTTTACATTATTGGTATTTGATATTTCTTGTGTTTTTTGAGTTGATAAAGACGGGGATAATTCACTGGTTAATGGGTTTGATTGCTTGGTTGAGGGATTTGCAGTATCAATAACCAATTGAGAAGAAGTAGCTGGTTGAGTTGATTGATTAGGGATTTGGTTTTGTATTTGTTGAGGTTGTAGTGAAAGATTAGGTTCAATATGATCGTGTTGTTGAGAAGATTGTTCTTGAGTTTTTTGTTGTTGTTCTTGAATTTTTTGTGGTTGTTCTTGAATTTTTTGTGGTTGTTCTTGAATTTTTTGTGGTTGTTCTTGAATTTTTTGTGGTGGTTGTTGTTCAGCTTCTTCTTTTTGTATTTTAATAGATTTTAATTGTTGAATAGACAAATCTTTTTGGTGAGAGTCTAGTTGTAATTGTTCAATGAGTTCATTTAATCGTTTAATTTCGATATTTTTGTCAATAAGTTCTTTTTCTTTTTGATTGATAATACTCTTAGAATTTTGATTAGAAGTATTTAATTCATTAACATGTTGAGTAATAGTTTGTTCTAGCTTTTTAGTATTTGTTTCTAATTCTATAATTTGTTTATTTTTTTCTTGTATTTCATTATTAAGTTTAATGACCATTTCTTCTAAATTCTTTTTGTCTTGTTCTAATTGATTTTTTATAATATCAAGTGCTTTTTTTTGGTTTAAATAAGATTCTTTTTCTTCTTGTATTTGTTGAACATGTTGAATCATTTCATTTGCTTTTTCAACTTGTTGTTTAGCTTCTAAACATTCTAATTGAATTTTTCCAATAAGGGAATTCTTTTCTTTAATAATTTGTTCATATTCTTCTTTTTCAGACCATTCACTTTGTTGAATAATTTGTTTTTGTAATGATTGGTTCAAGTTAATTAATTGTTCTTCTTTTTGTTTTAACTCTTCTTTTTCTTCTTTCCATTCTTTTCGTTCATCATTTAATTGATCTCTAAGTTCTTTATATTTTTCAGCATATTCTTCTCCTCCAGTTTTTTCCACAACTTTAATAAACTTTTCAATAACAGGTTGTTTTTGAAACTCTTCAACATTGTTAATTAACTCTCTTTTATTTTTATTTAATTCTTCAATACTCATTTTTAATTCTTTATTTTCTTTTTTTAATTGTTCAATTTCAATTTGATTAGAATGAGGTGTTGGTGTTATTGGTTTAAATTTTTCATAAATTAATTTAGTTTGTTGCATTTGTTCAATTTTTGTGTCTTTCATTTGAATTAAATTTTCCATGTTTCTTATTTTAATTTCTAACTTTGATTTTTCTACAGTTACTTCTTTAAATCGTTGAATTAATTTTTCCATTAATCCTTCCATTTGTTTACGTTGTTGCATAATTTCATCAACACATACTTTTTCTATTGTTTTTCCATTTAATATTTCAAGTGCCTCTAATGCGGCTTTCTTTAATTCATCATTTTGTTTCCAAAGTTCTATATTTTGAATGGCTATCTCACGAGATTGTTGTTTATTTTCTGTGGCTTTTTCTATCGTTTTAATTTGTTCTTCTAAATGAAAAATTTCTGTATTTTTTTTATCTATAACTTGTGCAGACTTTTCTAACTCATCAATCGCAAGTGCTAATTTTAATTGTAATGCTACTGTTAATGATTCTTCATTTTTCCATGAATTAATAGTTTCAGTAGAAATTGGTTGGGGTATGACTATTGTCCCAACATTAGGTAATGATGATTTTACATTCACTTGAGGTGGTTGGTCTGCAATAACATTATAAGTAGTAGTTGGTACTGGTTTAACTTCAATAACAGGAATAGGATTTTCAGGTATACATATTTGAGATTGTTTTGGTTGAATTGAAAGTTCTTTGACATAAGTTTCTAGAGCGTTGATATGGTTTTTTAATATATCTTCTTGTGATGCCATTATCCACTGATTATTTTTATTTTCTTTTTTTTTTATTTTTTGTTTATAGTTTCTATTTTAGTTTTATTTTATTATTTCAATTTACTATTTTATTAATAATTCTTTTACTATTGTTATCTTAATTCATTTTATTTCTCTAATGATTCATAATACAATATTACCTTTAAACTCAATCCAATTTATTATTTCTCATCTTCAGAAGTATCAAACTCTTGTTAATTGTATTTTTATAAATAAAAAATGGAAACATTCTATTGAATATTCCTATAATAATCCATTTACTTTATCAAAACAACAACTTTTATTATTTTTCCCTCATTTGGTTCAACAAAATATTTACCATTGTTATGATGATAAAACTATTAATATTCCTAGTGTCATTTGGTATTACGTACCATTTGAATTAGTTGAAAAAAACAAAAATATTTCACATGATTCCTTTAAAAGAATTGAATTTACTTTAAATGACAAACAACAATATAATTATAACTCTAATTATCATATCCATTCTTTGGCTTCTCATTTGTTTGAAAATGATCATCAATTAGAGTCAATACAATTGCCTTCTTCTTTATTAAAACTAGAACATTCAGTTTTTAGTCATTGCAATTTGCTTCGTTCTATTTACATCAATTCACCACTACAAACAATTGGTCGATATTGTTTTTCAATGTGTACATCATTATGCACTGTAAAACTTCCAGCTTCTCTTTCAGTTTTAGAAGAAGGAGTGTTTTCTCATTGTTCATCTTTGAAATGTTTAGACTTATCTATGTTATCACTTCAAATCCTCAATAAAAGAACTTTTGAATATTGTACTAATTTATCTTCTGTTATATTACCATTATCATTACAGAAAATAGAAGAGGATTGCTTTTATAATTGTATTTCACTATCCACACTTTGTCTACCATCAACACTCACTTTCATTGGAACACGTTGTTTTTATGAATGTACATCTCTTTCTCACCTTGATCTTCCATCAACTATTTCTACTATGACATCATCTGATTTTACTCGAATAGATACAACTCAACATGAAACACAATTTTGTTGTTGGACAGAAGATTTTTATGACGTCATTGACAATTTAGAATCAGAGAAAGAAGTTGAACTTCGATTTGGAATTGGAAAGAGTTGTTTTTACCAATGTAATTTTATTTCAAAAATATTTCCCAATTATTGTTTTGACCCATAACCATTGATGTAAGTCAGTACTTTTAATATAAAATAAAGTTGTGTTTTATTCTTTTTGGCATTATAAAAAGTAGTACTCTAAGAATAGATAATTAAACGTGTTAATTTAGTTTCCAAATAAAGAATTATAACATTGGATTTTTAATAAGAATGTTCATGAATCAAAAATGTAAAACAATACTTTTCGATAAAAAATATTAGAATGATTCTACAAAGATTTTATTTGTTTGTTTATGCGAAAATGTTTATAAAAAATAAACCAAAAAAAAACAAAAAGTGATGAAAGAAGAATTTAGAATGTATTTAATTAATTCGAAATAATTAGAAAAATATAATAAGTGACTTATTTCTGAAAGAAATGGTATTTAAATGATAATATTAAACTCATAATTATCAAATGCAACGAACTCCATTCTATCGCTCACAACCACAACTTATTGGTAAGTCTCAATCTATTGGACTTGTCCAATATTTTAAAGAATGTCATCTTCAAACAAATCAAGTAGATGAATCTGATTTTGAGGTATTTAATATTCTTAATGGATCAGAAAATATTACCTCTGTTTTTACTTATGATGGTAATGAGTCTGTAATTGATTTTGGAACTAATTAAGAAAATCTCTATATCAACTAAATATTTCAATTTAATGTATGTAATTTAATCTTCATTCATCTTTATTTTTTGTTTTTCATTTCAAAAATAAGAACTTTTAATAAAAAAGAACTTAAAAATTTAATTATAATGGAAGAACTTTCTAATAAAATTATACAACAATTAGAACTTTTAGAAGATAATTCATTAAATACATGGAACGCTGCTGATGAACAATTGACAAAAATATTCTCTAAATATTTATTTTCAAAACAATTTCAACCAATTGCATATAAATTATTATTGAATTATTTTATTTCAAATTATAAAGAGAAAATTAAATCAAGTAAATATGCTTTTGTTAAATTAATGCTAATGACAAAATATACTCAAAAAGAAATTGTTATTAATGATATTGAACAATTATGGGAAGTTATAATTAATATTTATGAAAGTCAAAATACTTCATTATTAGAAACTATTTCTCCTTATTTAATAGACCTTTATAATTTCTCTATAACTTCTCATTCAATTGTAATGATACTTAGAAATTATACTAAATTAAATTATCTTATAACTCCAATTCAATTAAATAGAAAATCAAATGCTTTATTTTATTGTATCCTTATTCATCATCAATCAAATACTATTCATCTTACTTCTTCTATTCAACAATTCTCTCAATCTATTGAACAAAATATTCAAAAGAAAACATTAGACCTTTTTTTATTATTTATAAAAGAATATATATCTCTCTTTTCTTCAATGAATTGGATTATTCATGACTCAATAATTATTTCAATACTTAATTTTATTGAATCAATTCTTAATAAAAAAGATAGTATTCCACCTGCATTGGTTCTTACTTCTATTGAAATTATTCAAAATATTTTAAGTCTTGTACAATATATTGATATAAAAGAATCTCTTATAAATTCTCTTCTAATAATGTTTAATTCAATTAGTCATAGTAATATCATTGCATCTTGTTATAATACTTTAGTTTTACTTCTTCAATTATCACCTACTCTTTGTCTTTCTGTTTTTGAACGAAATAAAGAATTAGTGTATAATATTTATCTTCATCTTCCTCAATGTGATAGACATCTTTACATTCATTCAATAAATTTATTAACACAATTATGTGAAACTTATCAACGATATTTATCTTATGACACTTTTTTAAAAGTACTTCAAACTTCATCAACAAAATATTTAGAATATTACATTCCTAAACCATCAGACTCAACAACTATTATTGATTGTTTATATTTTAACGCAATGAAACTCATTAAATCTTTTGCTACATCATCTTCAATTCCAGACTCTTTACTTAATATATTTACCTCAATAAAAGCTAATACACCTTGGCCTTCTAAAGTAAATTTTTTGAATACCTTATCTTCATTACCACTTTTCCTTGTTACTCCACAGCGTCTTTCTCATTTGTATGATTTGGCTGATTTCTTCCTTGTCGATGTTGACCAACGCGTTATTACAGCAGCAGGAAAAGCATTCAGTACTTTATTTTCTGTTTTGCCTTTATCTTCTAAATCTCGAATAATAACCAAACATATTCAACAGTTAATAAGTAGACCAGATATCTATACCAGAGGAAGTATCTGCTTAATTAAAAACATGTTAAAAAATCAACCTACATTATTAAGTCTGTCTCAAAGTATTAAATTAATTTCCATAGTCTTATTTGCTTTGGAACATTCTCAATGGAAATGTGATATTGACGTTTTAATAGACTCTTTTGAATTATTTACAATCTTAGCAAAACAAGACATTCCTCAAAAGGAATTTTTTACACACAGCGATAGACTTACTTCTTTATTCACATTCCACCTAATTCTCTTATCTATATTCTCAATAACATTATTCCCAGAAAAAATTAATAAAATTACTGATCAAGTAACGTCATCATTTAAATATCCTTATATCGTTGCTGTAGTCAAAAACAAACTATATTCAACTTTACTAAGTGTTATTCAAGCACGTTTAAGTGTAAGAAATCCATTACTCTCTTTCTCCCCAACAGAAGACTCTGCATTAACACTATTATCTAAAGTGTTTACTTCCTTATCTTGTTTCATTCTAAAACTACCAGAATGTACATCTGCATATTCAGATGAGATTTTACTGCATATCACAACATTATCACCAATAGATTTATCTGGTTCTATTGCTTGTATGACACAAATCTTATTATATTCACATACAATATCTCCAAATCCTCTCTTGGATAATGCAAGATCACCAATTCGTTCAGTCTTAATGAAAGAAATGAATTACAGAGATTATGTTAATATCCCAAAAGTTGAACCTCGTAAAATAACTGAACAAACATTGAAAGATATTGTTTCTCACTCTCATTCTATCTTCTCACAAATACAAAACGCAGGATGTTCTTCTATTGATTGGTATATATCCACTAGTTATTTAGCATTGTATTACAACATCTTCCTTTCTAAATCAATTAGGTCTCCAAAAAATAGTATATCAATTATCTATAATACTATTGCCCCAAAAGAAGTGTTAACTTCAGAATGGATCACATTTAAGAATTTGGTTCAACAACATAATCTATTAAATGATTTTATCTTATCTAAAATAGATGGAACCCCAACGTTGTCAACAATCTTTCCACTTTTTTCAAATATCTTTACTGAAAATCCTCATATAACAAAGGTATCAAAAAAACTTTTCTCTGAAGCTGTGGAACAAGAAAATACATTTAACCAACAGTTAGATAAAATAATTATTGGAAATGATTCAGGTGCAGTTCAAACAATTAGAATGTATGAAGGATATATTGAATTATTAAAACAAGAAGAAAAAGAAATATTCGAAAGATTTACTCATTTGTTTGATATGCAACAGATTCAGTTGTGTTTAAATGGTACAACAGATGGTAAAGAAATAGTTGAAAGAATGTGTATTTTTGTTCAAGGATTTATAGCTGAGGGATGTAAACAAACTATCATAAAAGAGATGAATCAAAATATTGTTATGTTATGGAGACTATTAAAAAGAGAAAGCACTATAAGAAATAAATTAGTAGAAGGATTAAATAAAACACTTATTATTAATAGTGAAGGTGTAAATGCTTGGAAAGTTAGAATGTATGCTGTAATTGCTTTACTTCGTTCATTGACTCTTAGAATGTTAATTTTTATTGGCAATGAAGATGCGATTAAAAGTCTTATTGATTCTGCAGTTATTGGAATATGTAATGTTCATTTTGTCTTGTCTCCACAAAACGAAGTCAACTTAACAATACTGAATTCTATTTATGCCATTATTAAAGAAATTAAAGAGGTGTTAGAAATTCCAGCTCAGACATCTCTATTTAAGCAAGTGTCTCAAACTAATATTTCAATGCTATTTTTTAACAGTTTAAATACAAAAGCTCAATCTTTCTCAAACAATAATATCATTGAAAAACTGTATTTCATTTCTTTTCTTGGAAAAGAAATACCACTAGAATTAGCAAAAGATATATTTACTTCCATCCCATTATGTTCTCTTCAAACATTCTTCCCACCTATGTTACCATTCTTATTTAGATCATTAACACAACCAAAACAACCATTACCAAAAAAATATCTTAATATTATGCATCTGCTTCCTCAAACATTTAGAGTGAATTATCTTTCTAGTCATATTAATGAAATTCATTCAATTCCCCAACTCTTCTTTAATAATTTATCTCTATTTTCAGTTCAGACATTAGAAAAAGTTGCTCTTGAAATCACAACTACATCAAGCCTCTACTTTAAATTTATTGATCAATTCCCTGATGCTCCAATTTGTGAGTTTGGAGAAGTTTTTGATTATCTATGTGTTAAATTCTTAAAAGAACAACAACCATCACAATTTACTCAAACCCTTGAAATGAATAATTGTACCTTAGAGAATTTGATCAATCTTTCAAAAATTGTATCGGAACAAATACCATACCTGTCTGGTTTAACTGAGCTTAACAATGAAAATTTAATTAAAGTTGGTATGGGTATATTGAGTAAAATGTGTAATAAAACAACTAGAATGTTGATTGATGGATTAAACATTTCATCAATGTGTTTAACAATGAGATTCTTTATTATGTTAAGAATATATTTGTCTAAACACATAAAAGAATTACCTATATTTGACACAGAAGGGAATGTTCTTAGACTTGAACCTCAACAAGAATTTAGTGATAAATTGCTGATGAGTGATTTTTGGGATTGTTGTGAAGTAAATTCATTAGAGTCTGCTTTAAGAATTACAATTTGTCTCCTTTCCCAATTAGACTATCAAGTAACTAAAACAACTACATTAGACCATGCCGTAGATAATTATGTAGCTCCTCAACACTCATTTGAATAATTATACAATCAATTTTCAACAAATATTAATAATTTATTAAAAAAACTTAAAAATATGAAAGGAAAAATAAAAATTCAATTGAAAAAACCGAAAAGAACATCATTTTTATTTATCGAACAAATTCTAATCGATAAACATCTCCATTTTCAAGTAATTTTAACACATCACACGTTGCAAGTAATATTTTTTTATCCTAAAAAAATTAGTATTACTTTATAGAAAATAAATTAATAAACAAACACTTTCTTTTCTTAAATAACACTTTAAGTCATCTTCAATTCCAAAAACTATTTTAAGGTCTTTTACAATTTGTGCCGCAGTTGTTCCTGGTGTTATATCAAATGTTTCTATCCTTCGTGAATATTTGACTTGCATCATTTTACATCCTTCAGGTGGGTTATGAAATTTAACTGGTTGCCCAGTTTCATCTCCTGTTCTGATTAATGATGAAGTGGCTTTAGACCTTTGTGGTTTTGCAACTGCCTCAAGCCCATGTTCAGCACAAAAGAATTTACATCCCTTAAGATGTTTTCTAAGATTTTCTTGTTTATTTTTTATTTTCATTACGCGCGACAATTCGCCACGGGTATGAGCTTCTTGGCAGGCTTTACAAGTCATATATTCTACACCATTTTTTTCACCTGCAGGATCAAAGTATAAAGACATTTCAGCTTTAACAGGAACTACATTATTAAAATCTTGATTTTGGTCTTTAGTGTCAATAGGGTCTTGTGAAAGAGAAGATGATGAAAGAATGTCTTCTGAATCGTCACTTGCCATTGATGATCTGAATATGTAATGACCTGATTGGGGTTCCATGTTTTTTCTCTTTTTTATTATTCTTTTAAATAAATTAATATTGTTTCTATGTTCTTCTTACTGAGAAAACAACCCGATTTTACTCTTCTTGTAAGGTCATTCACCTCAAACGGTTTTTCTCTTTCTGAAAATAATTTTTTTGTTTTATTTGTCTTCTTTTCATTAAACTGACTATTTTCAATACCAAACACAGAATACTAAATAATAGCTAATTTCATTTGATAAAAGTAGAACAATGTCAATAGTAATGAAAAACGCAGAAGATTAGTGTAATTGAATAAATATTAGAAAAACAAATTAAATTAATAATGTTGAATTAACATTCAATTATGTTTCCAACTAAATAAGAGAGAAATAATAAAGTATACAAGAAATTGGTATGGCTATACTTTAGTATATTGAATATAATGAATGTAACACTAGTTTATTGAGATATTTTCCATTTTTGAGGCTAAGAATTATCTTGAAGTATTTTTTTTTATTTCATTAATTTTTGAAATATTCAAATAATATCTTAATTCAAGTAGTAGTATAACTCATTCAATGAATTGATTAAATTCTAACTAAATCATTAAGCAAAAAAAAATTTAATTACTTTTTAGTTATTAGTTGGTTGTTCTATGTTCTGGCAGGTGATTTTAATAGTTAACGTACCAACATCTTTAATTGGAATTTTTTCTCTTTTTATCTCACCAATTTTCATTGGAGAAAATACGTAACTTGCAATTCCTACAGATTTCTTAAGTGATTTACCATTTTTAATATGAAAAATGATTTCTTCTCCATCCTCAACAACAGCAGGAAATTCCTCACACCAAAAAGGATTTAAAGACTTTTCATATTGACGTGTTGTTTGCTTTTCTGTTCTATTTGTTTTAAAAGACACATAAGCTTCTAGTATACCAGTAATGTCGGCATATAAATCAGTTGCAGAGACAATATTTAATAAAACAGAATATATAACCATAGATAAAGATTTTCAACTTTTTAAGTTCTTGTCTCAAAAATAACTGGAATAGTTTTTTTTTAAAAAATGAGAAAACTATGAAAAAAACGAAAAAAAAAATGAAGAATCAAACCAACTTGGTTTTTAAGCTTTTTTTAAGTTTTCAATCATCCATTCATCAGTAAGGTCTTCAACGTCTTTGACAGTATAATTTCTTTGAACACCTGGTAAACTAGACTGGAGAGATGCAACACATGAGGTATAAATCATTGAAAATTGTGGGTTTATTCCTGTTGGTGAAGAATAAATTAAAACCAATGGATATGTAATTCTTCCATCACGAGTTTCAAACTTGTAGCTATAAACGATAAATCTTGGTTCTGTTGTTGGGAGATAATCTTGGAGGTCAAGAAGAGGAGTGTTATCAAGTTCTTCTTCAACCTCAATTAAACTATTACTTCTATTAATTTTAAGAATTAGTGCACAATTTTCTGGATTTCTTTTAATCTTAAATTTCTTAAATTGAGCTGCTGCATCTGCTGAAAGAGTTGCAAAAGAGTTCATTAACTTTTATAGTTCACCCGCTAAATCTTTATTTTCTTGATTCTTCTTTTTCGGTATGCAAATCATTCTAAAAATGTTATTGAATTAAAAATATGTTTTCCATTTTTCTATTAGTAATTGAGCTTCTTTACCTTCTGTTTTTCTTTCAATTGATGTTACAAGTTCTCTTTGTACTTTAGTAATGATTTTACCTAATAAATTTCCTCCAACAATACAACCACTCTTGAGGAAAATTTCCATCACTTCATTTCCATTTTGTTTTAGTATAGACTCTCCTTCAATAATTCCTACAGAATAAACTCCAATAAAACTAAAAACAAAATATGGCATAGGTGTGTATATATATTTAGTAAATTCTCCTGCTATTGCCTTACCACAAACAATTCCCTGTTTCATTGCATCTGTCCAATTCCCATAACAACGACCATTAAATTCACAACAATCTCCACATGCAAAAACATTTGAAATATTAGTCTGCATATATTCATTAACAATGATTCCATGATTAATTTTACAACCAATTGATTGTGCCAATTGGACTGAACTTTTAATACCACATGAATAACAAATTAAGTCACAAGCCATACGTTCTCCATTTGAAAATTCAATTATTTTGGTACTTTCATCACAAAGAATAGCTTTGATTTGAGAATTTAGTTTTAATTGAATTCCATTTTTAAGTAATACATCCATAAAAATTTTTGATGAAGTCTTTGAGAGTTGACGTGGTAATATTCTATCTGCTATTTCAATAAGAGTCACAGTAACTTTTGCTGATTTTCTTCTTAAAGCATTTGATATTTCAATTCCTGAAAGACCTGCTCCAATGATAGCTATTTGTTTTATTATTCTTGTTTCAAATAATGAGTTTATTGCTTCCATATCAGCAGCAGAATGAATAGGTATAATATCATTAGAATATGATTGCGGAATGAAAGGTGGTTTGTTTGGCTCACCACCAACAGCAAGCACAAGTTTAGAAAAATGAACTTCTTGTCTTACTAAATCTTTTTCAGTAATCACTATACTCTTTTTCAAGTCAATTGATTTTACAGTAAAACCAAGAAGAATATTAATGTTATTCTTTTGGTAGAACTTTTTTTGTTCGATGAAGAATTGTGGATTACTACAGAATGGTGGATCAAATAATATTTTAGGTATAGCTGTTCTATAGTATGGAAAGTGTTTTTCTTTACAAATAAGCGTTATAGAATGAATCCCTTTTTCTATTAAGCACCTAATTACTGATAGTGATGCAATTCCACCACCAATAATAACTACCTCAAGATTACTTGATAAAGGGGGTTGGCAATTTTCCTTAACACACTCTTCTTTTTTTAATGACTCTGACCCACAACATTGACATTTATCTCCTTTGGGTTGTGTGTTACCACAAATATCACAACGATATTGTACATTTATATTCATAAATTCTTATTGAGTGGGTTTTAACTTAAGTGCTAGTGTCTTTTCATTTCTTTTAATCGTTTATTGAGAGATAGATAAAAAGAAAGAGATTTAATACCTAGAGAAAAATTTATAATTTATTAATGATGGTTTTAACACCAATCTGGAGATTAAACATAGAAAACCCAAATTCAGAACAGTCATCGTTGTTTGTCATAAATCCGTCCAATAATGATGTCATTCCAAAAGGGTTTTTAACATGAGAACGAAGAATTAAAAATATGATCACATTAATAAAGTCATCTGTCGCACTAAATAATTATTCTTGTGTTTGTTTTGAAAATTAAAATAATGATAACAAACAAATCTATAGGAGTTTGGCCATTATTATATTTTGCCATATCATCAATAATAGTTTTATGTAATTTAACAATTAGTTCACGAGCTTTAATTAATGTTGTAACATCTTCAAGCATTTTAATTGTTTTTAATGAACGGTCAAAAACAATATCAAGACTGTCCTTTGGATATTTTGGTGGTTCCAAATGGAGAATATGTCCTAAGTTTTGAGAGCCTAATTTCAAAACTTGAAGTTCATATCTTTCATCATTCTTTTCTTCTTTTTTAATGAAAATATCTTTAACAGAATCAAAACATAATTCAAAGAGAATATCTTCAATGAAAGGAGTCAGTTCATCAGATTTTTTTATGTGAAAGTGATTTGCTATTTGTTCTTTTAACTCAGATGCCGTTTGAGCGATTAAAGTTTTAATATGAGCAGCAATTTGACTATTTTCAGATTTTTTAAGAATACCAATTCTAGAAATATTTGCCATAAGTGCTTGGATTGAGCACTCTATCACATCAAGTAATGGATGAGAAGGACAATCAGCAATTGATTCAAATACCTCTTCAATTAACTCTTTTTGTTTATTGTCTTTAAGATATATTTTGATTATTTTTTTGAGATGGTCATCAACTTCTTTAGCTGTTTTTTGCATGGAAAATATTTATTAACTTTTTAAACATATTTGCCAGTTCTCTTATTTTTTTTAATTTTATTAAAAAAAGAAAAGTGTTTATCATACTGTCAATTACACTAATGAGGCAGTTTCAGTTTTATTTCATTTTTTGGGTTTACTGACTCTGAAGACACACAACAGTATGCACCTGAAGACGTTTCTATTACATAATTAGAATTATGTCTTGATGGTATTAAGTTGTTTAGATTACCAACATATGGACTTTTTCGCATACGGAACCATGTAAAAGCTATTAAGATACAAAGAACAATTACAATTACACAAAGAGTACCAACATAATATAATAAATAATAATAAAACTGGTGTCTTTCTTCATTTGATTCATAAGCGAGTGTATAACAAATTGATAAAAATAAAAGGAGTAGTTTCATTACGATATTAAGATCTGGTTGATAAGGAGAAATTAACGAAACATTTTTCCTTTGGTTTTGATTCTCTTTTTGTTTTTGATAAAAAAGGAAAAATTGAAGAAAAAAATAAAAATATTTTATTCTTAGAATAATATTTAATGTCTCCTATTTTTTTAGATTCGAAGATGGCACGTCAGAGACACCACATGAAACCCTAAAATAATCCCATGCTTCGAATCTCCCAGTTATCGTCTGGTCATGACGTGCCTTTGTTGAGATAATATCTATTCAAAACTAACTGGTTATTATTTATTAATATTTATTATGAGTGATTATTATAAAAGATTATTATTCATTAACGTGTATTGTTATTCATTATTAATTATAAGGATTATTATTTACTAAGGGTGTATTATGTATTAAGAATTATCATTTATTAAAGAAGACGCATATATTATTGTTACTGTTGTATGTACATTTGAATATAATGATATTATCAAGGAATAGGGTTTCTTTAAGGGGTGTCGAAGGTAAAAGGAGATGAGCTATAACAGTAAGTTATGGATATACTCTCCTTAAAACAACAATATAAAGAATGAGAAATATTATATTACTTATTAAAATCAAAATAAAAGTCAGGCAGCAACTTAATTGAGGAACCATTTAAGTCGAGCATGCTTGCAAAAACTTTATTTCAATAGAAATAAAGCGTGTTGAAGAAACTGATTCGCTCACTTCTCAACATGATGAAAAACCTAAAAAATAAGGTTAATCATAATTGATTCCTTTTTTTTTTTTTTTAATGTCTCCTATTTTTTTTTTGTTAGTATTTTTTGTTAGCACTGGAACAATTATAAGTTAATTTAAAAGAGGATAAATGACATAGATAGTCATTTAGACTGGTAAATTTTTTTTTCTAGTTTCTAGTGAAAGAAAAGAAAATGGATAAATGAAATTATCATAAGTTTCTTAAGAAGAACAAGATTAGACTTGATTGATTTACAATAAAAATAGAAATGGTATGTAAATTGTTATTTAATAAGACATGGAAAATACCAAAATAAAAAGTTAAATAAAAGAAGACTAATTAATTTCCACTGAAGATGTGTTCAACTCATGAAAATAAACAGTTTCATAAGAAATATGCTAGTCAATTTAATACCTTTAAGAAAACAAGAGACTACCAAAGTCAACAAGAAGCTGTAATGTTAGGACTATTAAATAAGTATGAAAATTACTCATTGTTTTTACCTTCAAAAAGACATTGTAGAAGTGTCCCTTTCATTCCATTAAACACTATATTTATTAATGATGAAGAAATTAATTGTAACGAAATTATTAACTCAAGACTTGCGGATTTCTATGAAATGGACAAAGCAAATGGGATTCCAGACCACACTGCACTCAGGAGAAAGAAGGCAAATTTAGTTGCTGAAACAATAAATTTTCTTGCTGATGTAATAGAAATGAAAGGTTATGTTTTTGAATCAAAAATATCAACTGGAAAAAAAGGGATTCAAAAGGAAACACTTAACGCAATTGCTTCTCAAATTCTTTATCTTAACAAAGACGATATTATCACTAAAGGAACAGAACTTAATAAATATTTTTTATCTCAAATGCAACATAGTTCTCAAACACTTTTTAAGAAAGGAAATCCATATATAGCGGAGGTTCTTGGTATTTAGTATTAACATATAACTTTTTCTTACTATCATAAGTTCATCATTTTTATTATCACACTGGAACTGCTTGCTCATTTATATTCTTAATGAAATTTAAAAATAAAAAAGTTTCTCAAAAGAGTTTCTTTTAAGTGTCTAAAAAGTTGTTATTACAGTTAATTGTGAAATACTTTAAATGATTTATTATCTTATTTAAAATACCTTTTTTATTCATTTATATTAATTGTATTTTGTCTCTCAACTTAAAAAAAAACTAATAAAGAAGATTAAAATATTTTCATAAAATTTCTTTTTCAGCTTAATTTACTCTTATATCTAATATTATATTATTTTATTTAGTTATAGTCATTAATTTTGAAAATAAACAAATGGGTCAATTAAAGAAGAATAAGGTTAATGAAATACCATTATTTCAAAATGTAGTTATTTGAGGAACTAATAATATTTCTCTATGTTTTATATTTTAATACAAGAATATAAAATAAGAGTTGTACTATTGTATTATTACTTAAAGTAATGATAAAAAATTTTATTTAATCAAAATAAAATAATAAACAAATAATAACAAGAATGATGAAATTATTTTAAGTTTAATTGTTTTACTTTAGTAGTATACCTTGAAAAGATAACTGCATGTTTCATAGAACTATTTTGGATTAGAGAGGAGTAAGCAATAACAAGATTATTCATAATACTTTTCATGTCTTTGTCCAAATTATCTTTTTGACTTTTTAATTGAGTTAAAATATTAGTAACATCATTTAAACCATCTACATAAAACATTTCTTTTTGTTCAAACAATTTAATATCATCAACTCCTTTAAAATTATCAACAACATCTTCAAGACGTTTAAGAAGTGATTTTAACATTGCTTCTGATTCAATTAATTTTTGATGAGCATTATTCAATGTTTGGTCTCTTTTTTTCAATTCAACACGAGTATCGTTAGTTTTTCTTCTTGTACAAAATTATAACACCTTTTACAAATAACAACTTTAATATATTCTGCCATAGGATCTTCAATTCCCATAATTAATGTTGGTGCTATTGTTGTATGAATACTACATCCTACACAACATTTTCTCATACAAATATCACATGTAACATTCATATAATCTGCTCCATTCATTAATACATCACAAACAGGACAAATATTATTTTTTCCATTTTCTTTTCTTCCAAATAATTTACCTTTTTGTATTCTACTAATTAAACGTTCTAATCCTTTCTTAACACGTTCTTCATCTTCTTTCATTGATTCAATTACTAATTTTCTTTTTTGTTCAAATACATCCCATTTATTTATTATAACTCCTATTTTTTGTTTATCAAGTGAATTATCTTCTTGTATTTTACAATCTTCACAAACAACATAAGGTTTTATAACTTGTTTTTTACTTGTTAAATTCTTAAACGTTGGAATAATAATTTCTAATTTGTTTTTATGTTGTTCACAATATGCTATTTTACAGACTGAACAACAACAAAAATCATCAGGATTAATAGATGTTGTTTTTGAGCATCCTGGATATGAACATATTGGTTGTCCTGTTAAAGTAAATCTTGTCTTTTTCTTTTGAACATTTGTACTTCCTTGAATTTCTTTTGTTTCAATCTTTTTTGGCTCTTGATATCTATTTAATTTCTCTTCAACAACTTTAGTTGTTCCAAATAAGGATAATGCTGCTCGTGTCGTGGTATTTACCTTATTATTATAACTACTGTCAATACTTTCAAATGAATCATTCAAATAATTTTGTTTTGATATTGTAGGTGTTGATTGAATAATTTCTTGTTGAACTTCTTGTTTAAGTAATTCATTATCTCTTTTTTCTTTTTCCATTTCTTGTTCAATCTGTTGTAATTCTTGTTCTTCTAATTCATTATATTGATTTGTTGATGATGGTAATTTCATTTCTTCAAATTCTAATTCATTTATTTTAACATCATCTGGAATTGGAATATTTGTTTGAATTTCAAACTCCTTTGGTTTGTTTTCTTGTTGTTGTGGAAGTTGGTTTGATATCTGTGTTGATGGAATTATTTGTTGAATAAATGATTGATGAGGAGCAATTTGGTTAGATTGAGTTATCAATTGTTGTTGAGGAGAATACATGTTTAATTGTTGATTAAAAGAATCATACACATCAAAATAAGAATTGTTTTGTTGGTACTGAGGAGAATGAGGTTGATAAAATTGTTGAGGCATATAAGGATTACTATGAATTTGTTGACTATTTCTGTTAATAGGAGTAGAAGTAAACATCATATCATTTTGTTGTTGAACATTATTTTGATATCTTTGTTGTTTTAAACCAGCATTAAAGAATGACATATCAATGATTGGAGGTACAATTTGTGAAGATTCAGGTTGGTGTTCAATACTGTTGATTTGTGGTGGAATAGTATTAGTTTTAAAAGATGGGGGAGTAATTTTTTCATTGGTTATGTCTTCAGTAAGAGTAGTGTGTATTGGAAAGGTATTGCCTTGAAGTTCATTTTCTTTTCTATGCAACTCTTCTTCTCGTTTAATAAGAAAAGATTCCCTTTCTTTGATTAATTGCTCTCTTCTTTCTAATTCCATTTCTTTCTTTTCAATGGTACTTTTCAATTGAAACAATTGTTCTTGCCATACTTCTAATTCTCTTTTATTGAGAGTTGTTTTATCCATAACAATTTTCAAATATCAAAATACAGTTTCTTCAAACATTTATTCGTCTTCTATTCGTCATTCTTTCTTTTTCAAATAACATTCTTATGAAAATTTATGTTATTCAGTTAAACTATAATAAAACTAAAAATGAATTATATTAATTTTTTGTTTTTGAAAGAAATATATTTTTAGAAAATCGGTCCAACAACAACAAAATATCTCTTTATAGTCTTTCTTCAAGAACTTAAAACGTTATTTTCTTATGGCTTCAAAAGAAGACATTACAAGTGATGATACAACAATTGAAGATCCTACTATTTTTCAGTATCAAAAAAATAAGGAAGTTATAACCAATAGCGAAAAACGAGAGGAAGTTTCCGAAGAAACCCTCATTACATCTCTTAAAATTGGAATGAAATTTCATGAAGCAACAAACGATAGTGAAATAAAAGAAGTTGTTAAGAAATTTGTTCCAAATTGTGTTGTTTGTTTTATATTTCTAATTATTAGCTTATGAATATTTAAAATAATTTAGACATTATTTCCATCATTAAGAACATCAGAGGATGAATTTGAGAGATGTAGAGTTTTGTTTATAACGAGAATAGATCAAGTCTACGAAAATAAATACACGTTAGTTGTTGTTTATGCTTTTAACTTAGGCATTTTATTAAATAGATTTTTTAATTTGTCGTGTGTTAGAAAAGAGAATTGGGAAGAAAATTATCATCGTCATATATTAGCAATTCAGAAATGGACGTCTAAATTAAAAATTGTGTTGTCTCCAGAATTTATTCAATTCTTAAATTATATCATTCAGTCAGACACGTCGAGAGAATTTGACTTTGTTAACGAGTTTAAGAAAGTAAAAACGTATTTTATATGGAATGAATCAACAAAGAATAAATGGTTTATTAACCTTTGCTTGACTTTTCATTAATGTGTATTATAAAGTTCAATCCTCTTCACTTTTTTAAGTTTCTTTTCATTTAAACCTCTCACCATTTATTCAAGAAATAGTTAAATGGAACCTCTTGTTAATGAATTTGGAGTATAAACATTTTAGAAAATATGTAAGATATTGTGTTCCAATTATTGGTAAGTAGAGTCACTTAATAGAAATTATTTTATTTCTTTATTTTTAAAATTAGTCAATCAAAGATTGAAGGTAACATATCTGAAACATCACACAAACCCTAGTACAATTCAAGCATCGATTCTCACAGTTATTATCTGGTTATGACTGTGTATTTGAATTAGAAATGTATTAGGTAAAACTTCAAATGGTGGAGCAAGATATTATGATAGAATATTACATGGTGTAATATAAGGAAGTACTAAAGTGTGGGTAATACTAAAAGAAAATTAGTCATAATAACATAATGGGAATGAAATAGTCTCTTCTCTCATTCATAAAATTAAGAAAAAAAGAAAAAGAAAATGTTTAAAATTAAAATAATAAGCAATTAATTAAGTGTTAATAGATATAGTTTCTATTGTTCCTTCATTGGATGAGACTAATCCCGTCAATGAAGCTTCTAGCATTTCTACAGAGTATGTTTGATTGTGATTGAAGCAGTATTCCATGACTTCTATCATGTTTTTTATTACAAGGTTTTAACTTCTTTCTCGATGTCAATTTCAATTTTTAATTCTTTAATTAATTTATTACTTTCTTTATTCATTAATCCATTTATTGAGATTACTACTGGAATTATTTTGACATCTTTTAACTTTTCTATTTTCATTAGAATATTCTTTAATTCCTTATACATATTTCTTTTCTTCATTTACACTCCATTAATATTGTGATCAGCCACAATAGTCATATCAAATATTAGACCAGTTTTATTCTTTTTATCTAATACATATATGTCTGGTATTTTATTATATTGTCATTCACTTTTATGCATTATTTGTTTGTTCAATATCATTGTGATGTTTTTATATTGGAACACTGTTTCATATTTTATTTTTATATTGTTTATTGAATGTATATTTTCTTATTAATCAATATAATAATGCCAATATGGTCATGTTTTTCCATTTGTGATTTTTATGATAAATACAAGATATTAGAATGTGTTCTACTGTTGCTATCTTGTCTTTACAAAGTGTGCAGTATTTCAATCTTTCATTTTTCATTATTTTTGTTTTTCTATACCCACAAAATATTGCTCCATCTTGCATTTTAGTTAATTGTAGAAATGAATTCTTCTTAATGTTGATTGACTTCCATGCTTTCACTGTAGTAGTTTTATCTACTCCTTTTGACTCATTCCATCTTCTGAAGTGTCCACTTGTTTGATGACACTTCCATTTTTTGATGTATTGGTCGGTCAATAATTTTTTTATTTCTACTTCTACTTCTTTTTCTTTTTTCTTTTCTATCCCTTCATTTATTATTTCTTCTATTTTTGTTTCATTTATTTTATGAATTGGTGTTTTTTTAATTCTATTCCATATTCCCTTCTTATTGTACCATCTATCTAATATGTTATTTCTTATTTCACTCTTGTACAGTAGTACATCACTGTTCTTACTATTTCAATAACATATTCGTCCCTTATATTTATTAATCCTTCACCTATTTCTTCTATAATGACATACAACCTATCTTTGGAGTTTCACCAATGTATTTTGCCTTTCTTAAATATTTTCTTATCTCCAAATCAATTTTCTCTAGGTCAGTGATTTTCCAATTTACAACTGATGCTGAATATCTGAAGATAGGGATTACTTCCGTGTTTATTCTAGTAATATATCTTCTATTACTGCTATCATCACTGTTTATTTCTTCCATCTTCTGATTCATTTTTTCTTTGATGGATTTACAATTGAAGGTGTCATCAATTTCGTCGGACTGCCATATTCCTAAGTATTTATACAAGTCATTGCATTAAATTACAAGATGTTTTGCATTCCATTTGGTATTTCCTTAATGTTTTTTAATACCATTCCTGACTTTTTTTCATTCATTTCCATCCCTATTCCACTTATTATTTCTTTAATTTCATTGTGGATTATTCACATTTCTTCACTACTTTCTGTCATTATTCTCAAATTATCCATATATAAGTTGTGATTTGCTTTTGGGAATTTCTCTTCGATGATTTGAGAAATTACATTCATCTGAATGATGAAGAGTAGATTTGATAAGGAATCACCTTGTAGAATTCCTCTATTTAATTTAATACATCATAGATATTCATTAAATTTATAACCGATGAATATCTTCCATCTAGTCATCATACTTTCAATAATGTCAATGATGACTCCATCATAATTAAAATATTTTAATGATTCGATGACCCATTCATGGTTTACTGTGTCATATGTTTTCTTAATGTCATAATATGACTCATCATATTTTTGGTATTTCTCTTCTTTTTGCTTTAACATATAACTATTAATTATTCCTTCTTTAGCAACAAGAGAATGTAGTTTACATCCCAGTTGATTTTTACTAATTTTCAATGATTCATTATTCATGTTAAGTCTTCTGTGAATCTTTTCTTTTAATGTTGAGGTAAATACTTTCATAATTACATTTGTACAACTGATATGACGATAATTAGTGACATCATTCATATCACTTTGTGGATTAATAAAGTTCTTCCACTTACCATGTCTAATGGGATGTTTTCAGGGAAGTTCAACCATTCATTAAAGATATTGAGAATGGCTTCTCTTGATGATGACATCCTTTTCCAATAATACCCATATATAGTGTCTATTCCTGGTGCTTTCCAGTTACTTATTCTCATTAAACTGAAATTTAATTCATTTATTGTTATTATGACACTATCATAATTTCTATATCTTTCATTCCACGAGGTGATTTGTTTTATTTTCCAATAATCTTTATTTAATTTCACCTGTGTTTCATATAACGATTTCCAATATTCTAAAGTAATATCGTTATTTGGGTATATTTCATTTTTTGGGTCTTTCTTCTTTATTCTAATTTTCTTGTTAGAATCAAACATGATTTTATTTGTATTGATTCTGACCCTTTCATTTTTATTAAATTTAATTCTTTCTTTAATCATTGTCATCATATATTTTAGGTACTTTATTCTTTCTAGTGCTTTAACTTTTATTCCTTCTTCATCATGTTCTTTTAATTTCATGATGCACTTTATTCTGTACCATTTCCTTCCCTTGACCAAATCTTCTAGTCTATTTATTTTCTTTAGGATTTCTTTTATTTCATCAAATTTGTCTCCTATTATTTTATTTTGGAGATAGAGGTGCATAATCATTGAAATATTCTTCATATCATCTTGAAGGTGTTGCATTCTGCTTCCTAATAATATCCAGAGATGAGATTATATAAATATAAATAATAAATTAAGGTTTAATGATTTTATCCTATTGTTTAGGTGAGAATTTCTTCCCATCCTTCACTCTTATGAGAGTCTTCATCTACACCCGTGTATTTTCCTGAATGTTCATCACAGTATTTCATAATATCCTTCAGATTTGTTATTACAATATCTTTTCCAATTATTTCAAATGGAATTTTAATCCCTTCATTTCTTAACAACCTAACTCTTTCTTGATTTAACAATCTTCATACTGTTATTATGAATGGAATGATTATTACTCTAATTATTCTTTCTATTTTTCTTATATTTTCTTGTAATTTCATATACTTATTTTATATGTAAATGTTTTAAATATATTCTTCTCTCTTACTATTGTCATATCTATGATTAATACATCTCTTTCATTTAAATCTCTGACATAAATAACTTGTCTTTTATTGAATTTTAATTCTTTCTTATTTATCATTTCTTGATTCTAAACCATACTCATTTTATCTTTCTCTAATTTTCTTATTATTAATTTCTTTGTATTTTCTTCTTCTCTTTTTTCTTTATTTCTTCTTCTTTATATATTTCATATTTAATTTTTAAATCTCTCCATTTTTATTCTTCTATTTTACCATGTTTATTCATCTGTGATTTTTTAGTGATTATACAGTTGAGAATGATATTATTTATTATTGTTATTTTATTACAGATATAACACATTGGATATCTTGGTTCATATGTTCAAATTGCTTTCCTTATTACATTATTTCTTGCCTTCTCTTGCTTTTTCTTTATTTGAATATATGCCTCATTATAATATTAATTGTTTTCCATATTTTAATTGTTTTCTTTTTGTCTGACATTTTATCTTCAATGCATTTAAAATTTCACTACTTACTTTCTTATTTCTCCACTTATTGATATATTCTTATTGAAACTTGTCTTTTATGTATTTTATGTATTTTCTTTTTATCTTTATTTCCTTTTTCTTCTTCTTCATTTATGTTTTTGAATTTTTTTTTATTTATTCTTTTTCCACAGGATTTATATTAGCTGAAATTACAAGAGTAACTAATGATAATCCTTATAAATATCTTGGTATTGAAATAGGAGATAAAGTAAATATCAACAAATATTGTACAAGAATATTAAATGATGTATATTCTATTCTATCATCACTAAACACTATGAAATATAACATTATCAATACAATAAGAAAGATTAATAGTGATATAATCTCCAAATTAAGATATGGATTTAGTATTGTCCAATGGAAACTAGGAGAATTGGAGAATATAGATAAACAAATAAGAAAATCATTAATACAACTCCAATTATACAGTAGAAATATTCCAAAAAGTAGATATTAGTCATATACTGTTAGGATGTCCTGTAATGAAAAAGAATCAAATATTAAAACATGATTATGTCTGCAAACAAATATATAAACACACATTAATTACACAATTTATTGAATTTGATTCAATTGACTTTAATAATCCTCCAAAAATGTATTAATAATGATGAAATGGTTATAACTTACAATAAAGATTTATTGGTTAGTGATAATTCTTTCAATGCTAGAAGATAAGATATATATTATCAAAATATGAAAGAAAAG